TCTCTACATTCTTAAAGAAGCACTGGAGACACCGTAGGAGGGGGAGGGAGAAGGACGCTGGATGTGGCCAGATGTTTTACCTTCCCTCTCTCATCTCCTCCTTAGGGAGGCCCCGTGGAGGTAGGGAGGATCGCCTGCAGATTTTCAGATGTGGAAACAGTTTGGAGAGGTGGAGTCACCTGCTGTAGGAAAACATTTGAACTTAGCCCCTCAGACCTCAGACCTCAGGCCCTCATTCAGTCCAGCTCCCCAGCTCTCAGGAAAATAGAAAAACACAGGGCACTTGCACTTGGTATTTGAACACCAAAAGCTCAAGAGAAGCTTAGAGAGGGCCAGGGAAGGCATGGATTCCTCAGGTTAACCTCAAACATTCTTATTCCCCGGGGGAGGGAGGGAACTGTGGTAGGAAGAACACCAAGGATATCTTAGAAGGGCCCTCAAGAAACTGGCCATCGTGGTAAAGCGAGGGTGGCAAGGGAAAGGGCCGTGTGGCTGGGTGAGAGGGAAAGAGGGGAACTTTACTACTGCCCTTTTCTCCTCTCTCTTACAATTAATAGAGCAGCTTTAGGTCACAGCAGAATTGAGTGGAAAGGTGCCGGGGGTGTGGTAGAGCACTTCCCTGGTGTGCCTAGGGCCCTGGATTCCATTCCCAGCACTGCAAAATGATAATGATAAATACAAATCAACTGTGTGGAAATACAGAGAATTTCAGTGTGTCCCCTTTCCCCACACCTGGACATCCTCCCCCACTATGGAAATCTCACACAGAGCCGTGCATTTGGTACACTTGATGAACCAACCTTGACACGACCTTGTCACCTGGAGCCCATAGTTGACATTTGGGTTCATTCTTGGCATTGTCCATTCTAGTGGGTGCTAACAGAAGTAAAATGGTGTGTGTGCTCTGTAACATTTTGGTTGGGAAATTCCAGTTTTCCTAATAATTTTTATAATGTGTTGTGAAAGATGGAAAACGTGAGTGTGAAGTAGGTGTGATCATGTTGTGAACTGGGAGGACCTAAGTAACAGTTTGGCAGCCTTCAAAGATACTGGTATTTGATATCCTATTAAGGAAAATTTGCCTTCAAATCCAAAGCTGGAAAGTTTCTGGAATAGCTGAAAAAGAATCACAGTGTAAGACTTTTTAAGTGCATGTGTTCAGAATTGTGTACAAATGACATTCTGAAATGTCTGTGTATTGACCCTCCGTTCAGCCAATAAAATCTCAATTATGAAAGAATGTTTTGAAAAAAAAAATGTAAGGACATGTATGTACCCACCCATTGTAGCATCACAAAGAATAGATTCACTGCCCTTGAAATCCTCTGTGCTATTTATTCATCCCTCTCTCCCCCCAATTCCTGAAAACCACAGACCTTTTAATCATCTTCATTATTTAGTCTTTTCTAGAATGTCATATAGAATGACCCCCCTGCCCCCATCCTCCAACACATCTACTGTGGATGTCTGAAACTAGAGATAGTACCAAACTCCATGCATGCTATATTATTTCTGTATATACACAGTTACAGTAAAGTTTAACTTATAAATTAGGCACAGTAAGAGAACAACAATAATAACTAATAATAAAAGAACAATTGTAACAATGCACTCCAATAAAAGTTACAAGTTCATAAAAATATGATCTCTTTCTCTCTCAGAATATCTATTTTACTCTACTCGCCCTTATCCTTGTGATGGTATTATACAATGCCTGCATGATGAGATGAAGGTGGTGAATAATGTAGGCACTGTGATATAGTAGTACCATATAATGCCTTGGCAGTGCATCTGATGAGCGGGTAGCACATACAGTATGGATACACTGAACAAAAGGATGATTTATGTCCTGGGCAAGATGAAGCAGAATGGTGTAAGATTTCATTTCACCATTCTGAAAGTCACACACTTTAAGACTTATGAGTTGTTTATTTCTAAAATTTTCAATTTAATATTTTTGGACCATAGTTGATCACAGGTAATTGAAACCATAAAAATAAAATCACAGATTATGGGGGAACTACTGCAGTTGGGATCTTAGAGTATGTAGTCTTTTCAGACTTGCATTTTGATTGGTATTACATTGAATACACAGATCAAGTTGGGAAGAAAAGATATTTGACAATATTGAATCTTTGTATCCATGGACATGGAATATCTTTTTTTTTTTTTTAACACAGTACCCTTATTTCACTTATTTTTTTTTTAAAGAGAGAGTGAGAGAGAGACAGAGAGAGAATTTTTTTTTAATATTTATTTTTTAGTTTTTGGCGGACACACCATCTTTGTTTGTATGTGGTGCTGAGGATCGAACCCGGGCCGCACACATGCCAGGCGAGCGCGCTACCGCTTGAGCCACATCCCCAGCCCTCACTTATTTATTTTTATGTGGTGCTGAGGATCAAACCCAAGGTCTCACACGTGTGAGGCGAGTACTCTACCACTGAGCCACAACCCCAGCCGGGACTTGGAATATCTTTACATTAATTTAGTTCTTTTTTGATATCTTCCATTAGAGTTTTGTAGTTTTCCCATGTAAATTTTTTCATATAATTTCATACCTAAGCATTTCATTTTTAATAATCAAAAGTATAAATATATGCACCTGTGTATTTAATTTTGGAGGATGCTAATGTAATGGTAATGTTTTTAACATAAAAGGTAAATTTATGTTTTTAATTTCTAATTCAACTTGTTCATTGTTGATGTATAAGAAAGTGTTGAATTTGATTTATTATCATTATATTGCGATGTTTTGTTTCTATATTCATGAGAGACATGGAGCTAAAGTTTCTTGTAAACCCTTGGTCTGTTTTTGATATTTGAGTAATGCTGTCCTCATAGGATGAGTTAGGAAGCATTTCCTCTGCTTTTATTTTCTGAAAGAGATTGTAGAGAATTGGTGTAATTTTCTAACTTAAATGTTTGGTGAGATTCACCAGTTAATCTGTCTGGGTCCAGTGTTTTCTGTTTCCGAAGGTTACTAATTATCACTTCAGTGTCTTCAGTGGCTACAGCTCCCTTCACATTTGTTTATTTCTTCCGGTATGTGTGTTGGCACATTATCTCTTTCAAGGAATTGATCCATTTCATCTAGGTCATCACATTTGGGGGCATATATTTGTTTATATTATTATTTTAACATCCATGGGATCTGTAGTAATTTTCTTTCTTTCTTCTCTCTCTCTCTCTCTCTCTCTCTCTCTCTCCCTTTCTTGACAGCAGAGTAACAGGATTTATTACAGTAAGAGAAAAAGTGGAGCTTACAAAGGGGGTGGAGTCCCAAGAGAGGGTTGCCTGACAATATTCCCTGTTTAATTTCTGATATTAGTAATCTGTGTCCTCCCCATCCCCTTAGTCTGGCTAGAGACTTATTGATTTTAAGAACCAGGTTCTCGTTGTATTGATTTGCTCTATTGATTTCCTATTCGTAATTTCTTTGATTTCTGCTTTCATGCTTCCTTTCCTTCTTTCTTGGGCACTGGGTCTCACTCTGTTGCCCAGGCCAGCCTAAAACTCCTGGGCTCAAGCAATCCTCCTGCCTCAGCCTCCCAAGTAGCTGGGACTACCCATGCACACCACTGAGCCCACACTATTTCTTTTCTTTTTTTTTTTTTTTTAAGAAAGAGTGAGAGAGAGAGTGAGAAAGAGGGAGAGAGAGAGAGAATTTTTTAATATTTTATTTTTTTTAGTATTTGGCAGACACAACATCTTTGTCTGTATGTGGTGCTGAGGATCGAACCCGGGCCTCGAAGTGACTCAGCTGAGCTTCCCAGGGCAGTCTCCTAGCTCAGGTTTAGTTATCTAAGGTCACTAACATTCCTTAAACCTACCGCTTGAGCCACATCCCCAGCCCCACACTATTTTTTTTCTTCTGTTTATTTTGGGCTTAATTTGATCTTCTTTTTCTACTTTCCTTAAGTGGAAGTTTAGATTATAGATTTTAGATATTTCTTCTTTTCTGATATATACATTCAATGCTATACATTTTTCAGCAAACAGTGCTTTTGCTTCATTCTACAAATTTTGGTAAGTTGTTATATAGTTTAAAATATTTAAAATTTCTTATGAGATTTATTCTCTGACCCAGGTGTTATTTTGAAATGTTGTTAAATCTCCAAGTATGTTGGTATTTTCCAGATATGTTTAGTTCAATTTTAGTTTAATTTTATTGTGGTTTGAGAGCAGACAGGATTTCTGGTTCAAGGTGAGGTATACCTTAGTAAACGTTCCATATGAGCTTGAGAAGAATGTGAATTCTGCTGTTGTGAGATGAAACAGTCTACAGATGGCAATTCCATCCAGTTGATTAACAGTGTTTCTGAATTCACCTGTGTCACCTTTCTGGTGACATTTGGCCTTTTCCTAATTCTGGAGGGATTGGGTAGGGAGCAAAAGTAAATGGTTGATCTTCTTTTTGTTCTTTCCGTGTTGTTGGGAATGGAACCTTGGGCTTTGTGCTTGCTAGGCAAGTGCTGTTCCACTGAGCTCGCCCTCAGAGCCTAACATCCAACTTCTAGAAGAACAAAGAGTCCAAAATATAAAATTCAGTTTCTGAAATATGTTCCAGGATCAGTACAAAGTCGTGCCAGTGCCTCTTCTCTGTATTGATGATGCCAGCTCATGAGACTTGAATTGGGGTGAAGGCTCCTGAGGCTGAGCAACGTCCTCATCATTAAAGAGAGATCTTCTTATGCTTACTGACCTCCAACTTGGCAAGACTGAGAACTGAGCCAGGCGTGGTGGCACAGGCCTGTAATCCCAGCACTCGGGAGGCTAGGCAGGAGGATTGTGAGTTCAAAGCCAGCCTCAGCAACTTAGCAAGGCTCTAAGCAACTTAGTGAGACCCTGTCCCTAAATAAAGTACAAAAAAGGGCTGGGGAGGTGGCTCCAAGGTTAAGTGCCCCCCTAGCTTCAATCCCTGGTACTTAAAAAAAAAAAAAAAGAACGTGGACTGAGGTGTTTTGAAAATCATCAGCAAGATTTGAGGTACCGTGAGGTTTTCTTCTTAGGCTCATTCCTCACTTTGTAAACCAAAATTGAGATTCTGTTGTCCTTGACATCCCAAGCAGGGCAGAGGATCAGGGTGACTGAGCCTGTCTGCAGAGAGGACAAGCAGCCAGGGTTGGGGGTTGGCAGCAGCAGGGCCAGGAGTAAAGTGTGTGTTAGTTTCGTAACTGCCATAACAACAGAAGTTCACTCGTAGCTCTGGAAGCTGGAAGCTGATTGAGGTGCCAGCATGGCTGGTTCCCTCTGAAGGCTCTAGGGGAGGGGCTTCCTTTCCTCTCCTTAGTGTCTGGTGACTGCAGACATCCCCCCCCCCCCCAGGTCTGTGGCTTGCAGATGCACCATTCCAATCTCTACTTCCCTCCTCACATGGCAATCTCTGGTGTGTCCTTGTGACTCTGTTAAGTCTTCTTATAAGGACACCAGTCCTTGGATCAAGATCCACTTGTCTTAACTAATTACATCTGCAAATGTTCAATTTCCAAATAAGGTCGTGTTGACAGGTACTGGACTTCAATATATATCTTTCTTGGGGACTCAATTCGACCCACACTAGAGTGCATTTTCTATCTTGCACGTTTGGCAGCAGAAGGTATTTGCTGAAATGATTTGATGGAAGTGACTGAAGGGCAGAGGGCTGGAAGGTGAACTTGTGAGTCAGCAACTTGCACATTTCTGCACAGGGAGCAGTGGAGGTTTCATTAGTTGGGGCCAATTCAAATCTTCGCCTCCTCTCTTATCCTTGGATGGAGAGATGGATTTTCAACAGTGGCATCTGAAGTGCAGGATGCCTTTACTCATCTTTACCTGACCCCAAACATAACAAAAAAAAAATTGGCAAATAGGTCCATTCACTTTTTTTTTGGGGGGGGGGGTGATAGTGGTACTGGAGATTGAACTCAGGGTCACTTAACCACTGAGCCACATCCCCAGCCCTATTCTGTAGTTTATTTAGAGACAGGGTCTCACTGAGCTGCTTTGCTTTTGCTGAGGCTGGCTTTGAACTCGCACGATCCTCCTGCCTTGGCCTCCTGAGCTGCTGGGATTACAGAATTTCAAGCAGCTAACACAAACTGTGTTTGTGCACCATTTTTGCACGGGGCACCCCAAACTTTAAAAAAAAAATGTTGGCAAACTGTCCCATTCGTCATTTATAAGGTGCACTTTCATGTGATGGTTAACATCCCTTTCCAGGGTACCTGTGTGTGTAATTCATTCCAATTTTTAAGAGAGATCTTTCAGAATTCTGCTCAGATTGATCGTCAAACCATTCCGAAAAATTGCGTCTGACTCTGACTCAGGTCTGGCAGGGAGAGCTGCCACAGGCGCTGAGCTCTGGCATCGATCTGTGACTTCCCAGCGGGAGAACCTCAGGGGTGGAAGCCCACAGGCCTGATTGCCTTCCTAGATTAATATTTAATAGGATGACCGCCCCCATCCAGCTTGCCAGCCCGGATCAGTGCCACAAGCCAAGGCTTGGCCTTGCTGTGCGCAAGGGCAGAGGGAAGATTTGGCAAAATTTTAATTAACTGAAGACAAACATACATATGGGGCATGAGTCCATTAGCTAGCAGTACCACCCAGAGAGAAAAGGCCTCACTAATCACATGCCACAGCAGGTGAAATGACCTGTGGACCGCCAGTGTCCATTTGCTTTCGAATTAAAAAACATATTTTCAAAATAAATATGCGTGGGGTCCCTGTTCATCACGCTGTTTCCCCTGAAAAGCAGGAAAGCTGGGATGCTAATGAGCAACTGTTTGCAATATTTCAACTCAGGAAAGCTAAAAACACAAGTGTAGCAAAACAAGGCTGGAATCAACCTTCCCTTGGGGGAGGGAGGGAGGTTGGATGGGAAACCAGGCAAAGGCAATCCGAAATGGAGCCCGGGCTCCAAGGAAGAATACAAATAAGGCCGTCAGCCCGGGCTGGTTCAATCCAATCTCCAAGTGGGTGGGGAATCAGGTGAGGCCAAGATATACCATTTGCTCAAAAAGTCAGCAAAGTTAGATCTTAGAATAGGTCTGCAATTTACCAAGGTTTGTCTGATCTGCAAAATGGCCAAGCAGCAGGGCTGGTACTGGAGTTTACAATATTCTAGAAGGAAGAATATGTTCAGCTTGGTCAGAAAGTGGGTACTTCATTCACTCATTAGGATATACATTTTTTGCTTCATATATAATAAGTGGTGTCCCAAGCCTTGGGACAGAGAGTAAGGAAGGAGGTTTAACAAAACCCGCGTTCTCATGCAGTTTATATTGGAGTGGGAGGAGGTCCATCAACAACTAAAATATATATTTTAAAAATTTTTCTAAAAAAAAAGTAGGGAGGATCAAAGTTAAGGAGATTGGATTTTATTCCAAATGCCATTATTTGTATGAACCCTGTCATTCCCACCAGATCGCAAGCTTCAAGAAGGCAGAGATTATGTCTGTCTTGCTCACTCAATATTTACTGTGCATTCCAGAGCATGAAGGGGCTGCCTTTTCTTTCTCTTTGAGCCTGATCTTCTTTGGATGCCTCTACAGTGTGGTGAGCCAGACTCCAAGATGGCCTCCAGTGACCCGGGCCTCCTCATGTAGCCCTCTTCTTGCACGTGGAGTCAGAGCTGGCCCTCCAAGACCAGTAAAATAAGGTACAAGTGCTACAGAATGACATTCAAGGCAAGGCCATAAGAGTCATTCCAAGGTCTATCTTGGCATCTTGGATTTCTTATTCTGGGGAGGCTGGTGGCCACACCAAGAGGACTCTCGGCAGGAGAGGCCCAAGTGGAGAGGACTGAGCTCCTGGACAAGCCAGCAGCCAACTTGCCACTGACAGGCAGGGAGCCTTCAGGTGATTGCCCAGCTCACTTACTGCAGCTGCCAAGACCCTGAGCCAGAACCACTCAGCTGGGTGCCTCTCAGGTACCTGACCCACGGAAACCGTAGGAGATGGAGAGTGATTATAATGCTGAGCCATTGAGTTTTGGAGGACCCGTTAAGGACCCTTTTCATCTGGGACAGAGGGTCAGAAAGCACCTGAGACCAGGTGAGGACTAACATTTTTCCTCCATGGCACCTAACAGTCAGGTCTGAATGAAACTATTTAAAAATAGATTTATCAATTATTATCTTCTATAAAGGGGACTGAAGTCAAGGAACTTAAAAGACATACTCTGAAGAATCTAGCCCCCGTGTAACTTCCCCAAGTTTATTATTTTTGTTACCCTGGTCTAGTCTCCCAGCAAAAAGCTCTCAAATGCGTGTTTGAAGTAACACAAAGAAGGGGAGAGGGGTTAGGGAGAGGCTCTGCTCCCCTCCAAAATGGCTTTATTTTTATGTTTTATTATATTTTTGATTCCTCCTGCCTCAGTTCCACGGAGGAGGAAATTCTACAGGCTGAGGCTGCAGAGCTGCCAAGGGAATGAAGTCCAGACAGCCCCATGGGGCAGGGCAGCCGGGGTGGGGGCTTTGTAGGAAATGAGGTAGGACCAGGAGGTTGAAGGAAATGAGGTGGCTCAGGGCTCCAGGGGCCCAGACACGTAGCCCTGCAAACCAGCCTTCCTGGAATTCCTGTTCTTGTCAGAGCCCAGTCTCCCAGGTGAGAATGTGGCCTCACCTCAAATAGCTGTGAGAGCTGAATGTCCAGCAAGTTATTCCTCCTCAGACAACCCCCTCCTGACGCATTTGTCTGGCTACTTATTTCTGTAATTAACTGATACTGTTCAGTTGAGGTCTGTTGCATCCTTGTTTCAAAATAAATTTTACCCAGAACTCCTGTGTATTAAACCCATAAAAATCAGGTTGGCAATGGGAGAGGGGAGCTGAGTAGGCCTGTTGAGTGTCCAGAGGCCCTTCCCAGGACCCTAGCTTAAAAGACACAGACTTGAGGACCTTATGGAGCCTACCACATTGTTTTTTTGAATGATGTGATATTTGTGATGACTTGTGCCACTGTTTTTTTTCCCCTCTACTCCAAATAAATAGATTAATCATCCTGAGATAGCATCTCATCACACCCTCATGCCTAAGGCCTCTGGGGGATCCTTCTTCTCAGAGTTAAGGTCAAAACCTCTTCCTGGGCCCTGTCCCAGCTCCCTAGATATTAACCCACTCTCCTTCCCTACAACCCCCCTCCATGCTCCAATTCCTGGCCCTGTGTTTGCATTTCCTGCCTCTGGAATACCAGCTCCCTCTCCCCTGGGGACACATTCCCCCTAGCCTGAGGGACTTTTCCTCATCGGCACCATTAGCATATGCTATCTGCACCCAGTCCTTTGGCCTTTAAAATTAACTATGGATCAAAAGTCACAGAAACAGGAGAGTGGGGGTGGGGATCCTGAGGGATAGTCTAGTTTAAGCTCTTATTAGATAGAGAGTCCATTTCTCCAGACTGGTGAGCCATTCTGGCTGCTTCTTGAAATTTAAGACCGTGCCTTAACTGTTTCTGAATTCCGTCTACACTGTAGGAGTTCGGTTAATATGTATGGAGTTCTTGATGAGCTGACTGGTGGTCGAGGACCAGCAACGCATTCCTCTTCGTTTTGAGTTTGATCAAATTCAGAGCTGAGATTGCAGGCTGACAGGCATCAGCTGAGAAGAAAGTATGTTCGTCCAAATGCCACTGCCAGACCCTGCCTCTGGAGGGTAGGCGTCAATGGGACGTCCCTCCATCCCCATCCGGAGTCTTGCTAGGCAACAGCGTGTAGAAGATTCAGGCAAGTCTGGCTTTGATGTTTTCAACTGTGTGTCTCTGGGCAAGTCACTTAGTGTCTCTGAATGTTAATCATCTAATCTATAACATCAGGAGGATTAGGAAAATGTTTATAAAGCACTTGGTCACCTAGGAACCTAGTAAATAGTTGTGACTTTGATTTATTATTATTTTAAAAATATTTATTTATTTATTTTGCAGAGCTGGGGATTGAACCCAGCCTCGCACATGCTAGGCAAGGGCTCTACCATGGTTACATCCCCAGAACCAGGACTGGGAAAAGTCTGGGATTCATTTATGGGGTGGAATTATTGCTGTTTTTTTTTTTTTAAGCAGCACTACTCTTGTTTCCATTTTATTGTGAAAAATGGAAAACACATAGTAAAGTAGAAAGCATTTTTACAGCCAATAGCTGTATGCTAATCACCTAGGTTCTACCATTAACATTTCACTGAAATTGCTTTTCAATTATCCATCTTTCTGTCCCTTTGTCTACCTTACCTTATTTTAGTGATGCATTTCAAAGTAAATTGCTGGCATTGGTACCCTTTCCTCTAAATACTTTGGCTTGTGTATACTTAGCTAGAGTTCAGTATTTTTTTAGGGTTTTCAATGGATGTAATATCTATTTGTCGCATTCCCCCCCACCCCCATCCCCATCCCCATACTGAGGATTAAATCCAGGGTCACTTTACCATTGAGCTACCCCCACCCTTTTAAAAAAAGGGGGTAGCTACCTCTCCAGCCACCCCCACCCTTTTAAAAAAAAATGGGGGGCTGGGGATGTGGCTCAAGCGGTAGCGCGCTCACCTGGCATGTGTGCGGCCTGGGTTCCATCCTCAGCACCACATACAAAAAAAAGATGTTGTGTCTGCCAAGAACTAAAAAAATAAATATTAAAAAAAATTCTCTCTCTCTCTCTCTCTCTCTCCCTCTGTCTCTCTCTCTCAAAAAAAAATTGTTTAAAAAAATTTTTTTGAGACAGGGTCTTACTAAGTTGCTTAGGGCCTTGCTAAGTTGCTGAGGCTGGCCTCAAACTTGCAATCCTCCTGCCTTACTCCAGAGTTGCTGGGGTAACAGGCATGCACCATCACACCTGGCTGGATATAAAATTCAGATACAAAGAAATGCATGAACCATAAGTGTACATTTGCTAAGTTTTGACAGATGCAAATACCGGTGTGATCCAAACTCCCATCAAGTTATACAAAACATTTCCATCTCCACAGAAAATATGCCTGTACCCTTTTCTAGTCGTTCCCTCTCTCCACCCCTAGGCCTGCTGCCAAATTATCATTCAGAGTTTTTTCCTCCCTCGATTACCTGTTACAGAACATCATATAAGTGGAAGCGTATGCAAGCCAGTTCTCCAGGGAGCTTTGGATCAACCCGGTTCTCCCCTTTCTCACCTGTGGTTCGCAAAAATAACTGTAGGATTCACAGTGAATGAACATCTTGATAAGAAGGAACTGGCTAGACCAACCCAGGCTCCGTTCCCCACTCCCCGACCCCCTGACCCCATCCCAAACAGGATGTCTTTTAACATTCCCTGGGGTATAAAAGCAAGGGTAGGTTGGGTGGGTTGCTTTTGGGGATCCTTCAGCTGTCGTGGGACATGCATAGTAGAGACTCCTCTCCTGAGCCTTGTGGGTGGCCCTCAGCAGGTGCTGGGCTTCTGTTGTCCCTTGCTGCTTAGCTGTATAATGAGCCTCCTTTACCTTCTGTCTCACTAGACTTTGCTAAACTGGCAACCGTGCACAGCGACACCTGCTTCCCATCATGGGCTGTGCGTTCTTTTATATGAGGCTCCTTTCACTGTGCATAATGTTTTGAAACTCATCCATGTTGTGCAATCAGTGGGTATATCCTTTTATCGCTGAATAGTATTTCATTGCGTGACGATACAACCACCTGTTTATCTCCTTATCCTGCTGTTAGGTTTGGTGCCTAACCACTGAGCCCTTTTTAAAATATTATTTTAAGTCAGGGTCTTGCTGAGTTGCTTAGGACCTCGTAAGTTGCTGAAGCTGGTTTTGAACTCTGGATCCTCCTGCCCCAGCCTCCCGGGCTACTGGGATTACAGGTATGTGTAAACCGTGCCTGACCTCTGCTGTTAGTTTTTAATAAATGCTAGTTATATCCCATCTTCCTTTATGGTAGATCATCATCAACATGCCACAGGGTTCAGCCAGGGGGGAATTGGCATTTCTGAGATAGAAAATAAACTCAGAGAGAGAAGATGCATCTCCCAATGGATCTCGAGCCAGTTCTCTCCTGGTTTAAATCAACCCGTAGATACAACATCATCACAGATAGAAGATTAGACTTTAATTTCCTCCTGGGAGATCCTGTGCCCTGTCTTATTCTCATTCAGTGCGCTTCCCCCAGCTTCCTCCACCATGAAATGACTCGGAGCCAATTAAGAGCCCTGTGCCTCCTCATCAGTGATATTTATGACTATGGAAATATTTATGATGCATGGAGAGGGCTCAGGTCAGGGAGGAGACAGAGCTTTTGCTGCCCTTGGAAATGGGATTTGTCTCCTGCTTGTTTTTGCCAGGGTTGTGAAAAGGAAGACGGCAGGTCTTACAGTTTGGGGTTGCTTCCCCCTCCTTTTCTTTCTTTTCGGCTAACCTTTGCATTCAGGCTGGGGATTCCTGGTGATAAACCCTTTGGTTACTACTGACCTCCACACCATGAATGAGGGCAGCACTCTGCTTTACTGGACACTTTGGTAGAATCACCTCCGCTTCCGGAGTCTGCCCTCAAATGCCCTGTCCGGCTAGAGCTGTAAAATACAAGGAGAAGACATTTTTTAATTCAATGATGAAAATCTCTGCATTGTGAAAGAGGTTCAAAACCTGCTGCTGGAAGCCACCTAAATGCCTCTGCATAGAGAGGCAAGGGCCAGAGAGTCATTTTGGTTTTGGTACAGCTGGGGGGCGGGGGAGGCCATCACCTCCAACTTGCATTTTTCTTTAGTTTCTCTACATTCCGTCGCCCATCCCCCAGGGACCTCCTTGCTCCTTCCTGGGTCTGTGGCCTCCACCTGCACGTGGGGGTCCCATCCTTTACTCAGACCCAGTTCGTGTCCATTTTCAAGGACTCCGACGCAAAGGGTTCTTCCAGGGCTGGGTGCTGCCTGCCTAGCATGCACGAGGCCCTGGTTCAGTCCCCAGCACAAACACTGCCTCTGTCCCTCCTATGATACTGAGATGTGTTTATAAAAATATGCATCAATGCACATTTCCATAGGTAGCCTCGCTCAGGACTGCCTCCCGCTTGACTTGAAAACAGCACCTCTGCCTGGTTTCTGTCCCCCTGTGGCCTCGCCCCTCCTCAATGCTGTGCTGCGAGGGTCCTGAAGGCCACGCTGGAGATCTCGGTGGGCAGATGGAGCAGCCTCTTCTGGGTCCAGTGTCCTTCTGCCCTGAGGACCAGTCCCCTCCCTGTGGACCCCCGTGACTCAGCAAGGTCCTTGTCACTTCTCTATCATTCTGTCTTTTTCTTTATTGGACTTTATTCCCCCCAGTTCCATCAAGAAGGTGGTCCCATTCTCCAAAGGAGGGCCATGGTGTCCCTTCTCTGGGAACAGCTTGGGCTCTCCCTGTGTGCAGTTGGGTCCCAGCCCCACTTTGGTGCCCTGATGCTTCAGGGAGCGGTCACCTTCTACTACCCTCGCCTGAGCACCTCCCGCCCAATAGCCTTTTCCCCCAGGCAAAGCATGGTTTGGCCCTCGGGGAACTTATGATTTAGTCAGAGGGACACAGGCAGATTGTGAAATGTTCTATAACAAACTCCCGGAGTTAATTAATATTAAAGGTGTTGATACAGCGAGTCATGCCGTGTGACAGAGGGCTGTATGAGTGGTACTAATAATACCACGGTCACTCAGGGGAGAGAGAAGCCCAGGGCTCTGTTGCCCAGGAAGGGCTTGTAGGTGTGACCTGCAGGACAGGGCAGGCAGGACCTTCCTGCAAACATTTTTCAACCTGTCTTCAACCACAGCGTAACAATGCTCCTTAACCTGAGGTACAACTGCTCCCCCACCCAGGGGGATTTTGGAGGCTTTCTTTTCGGTTCATTGTTGGGGTGACTGGGGGCTGCTAGAAGCATCTAGTGCCTGGAAATCAGAAAAGGAAAATGTCCTGCAATAAAGGGCTGGTCCCATGTCCCACTGGTCGGACCTAATTTGAAAATCATGACATGTAGGGGTCATGGGTCATCTCCATGGCTCCAAGAACTCTACCTTGGCTCGTAAAAAAAACAAACAAAACAAAACTCTAGTAGAATCCATACACGGTGAATGGGATTATGCTCATCTGGAGGTAACCTGTGTCTAGCAGACAGACAGACGCTGGTCACTGGTCACCAGCCCACTGAAACAAGGGTAAATTGACCTGTGATGAACTTATTCACAATTTTGCAGGCAGAAAAAGCAAGAAATTTTTTTTTAATAATTTTCAGTACAAATTAAGGTTTAATGTTAAACCAACATCTAAAGGTTCTATTTTGAATTTCATGTAAAGTCAGCCCTTGTCAAGTTACCAGTGCTCAGGGCCAATAGGGACATTACCCGGCAGTGGGAGTCTCTCCAGAGAACACTGTTCTTAAGTGGGGGGAGACAGTTGGGAACTGAGACTCCTCTTAGGGAGGCTGGACGGGAAGGGTGGAGTTAGGGAATCTGAAGCCCTATCAGTGGCTCTATCTTGCCTGGGGAGGAGGGAAGACTCGAGGGGTGTCCGAAGGCCAGAGTACTTACCCAGTCACTATCACCTCCCAGGCACAGGGCCAGGCCCAAGGTACAGTAGTAAACAAGATGAGTCCTTGAGCCACTTGTACCTGCACCCCAGACAGACATACAGATGATTACAGGGCAGCAGAGAGCTCGAGAAAAGTGAGTCTGAGAATAATGACGTAGCAGGTTTATCCAGCCCTCTCAGGGGAGGCGGAGACCTTGGTCACTGGTCACTTGGCCGCAGACTGGCTCTGCGGGTCTCACCAGGGCTGGAGGAAAGGAACCCTGCTCCCCGGGGCTGCCCCAGGGACTGGAACACAGGGGCATCTGGCCAGACAGGAGTGGGATGAGCATCAGGAAAAGCCCCAGGGCCAGAGCCAAGGAATCTGAGCCCAATTCTAGTCTAGGGGGCCGGAAATAGGGCTTGACTGGGGACAGGGGCTTGGGGACGCTGGCTGGTCACCAGCTAAAGGGCTGGAGCTTGGTTCTTTGCCTTGTGGGCAGTGGGCTTGAGGGGGTGTGGCCTGACTTAAAGGAACCACTGACTCCAATTAAAATCAAATTAAAGCAAGCTTATTATTTCGACCGGCCGGGCTGCCTCTCCCTCCCAAAAAGGCGGGAACAAGACAGCAACCCCACCTTCCCTACAGCCCAGCTTTATAGCCCAGAAAGTTACACAAAGGGGGGTTACAGATAACAGAACTCTGACAAGCATCACACTAATGGTAGTTTACATTTTTTTGCTGGCCCCAACATCAGAATTTATGAGGACCATTAGAGCCTCAGAGAGGATCGTTGTCTGGCCAGGGAAGGCCAATATTTATGAGGTGTCACTAAAGTTTCAGAGAGGGCTGTTATCTGGTCAGAGAGCCAGCCATGGGTGAGTGAAAGACATGGGCAGGCATTCCAAGCAGGTTCAGAATTTTCAGTAATTTATAGTCAAGCCGAAATTATCTTTTCATGGCTTTGTGGCAAGATGGCTCCCAATTTTAGTAAAAGATCAGGTTGGGTCTATCAGACAAGGTGTTACTTCATGAGTGGCAGCCTGGGGTCAGAGGGGCTGTGTGTGACTCAGTCAGCGTCCAACAGGACCAGATGTCGCACTCACTGGAATAACTCAAGGAGGTGGACTTACAAAGGTGTGAGAGGGGAGTGGGGGAGCCCTGAGGGTTGGGAGGGTGACTCTGCAGCCATCAGCCAAGCTGCAGCCCCCAGGCCCTAAGCAAAGGGGGAGGAAAGTGGGTTCTGAAACCAGGAAGGAGGAAAGTTGTATAGAGAAACGTGAGCGAGACCGAGGGGCACGGCTAGCCTGGGGCCTCCGCATGGGAGACCCCAGGGACTAAGTGCTGCCACCCCACTCCCTCCAGTCCCCAGCCCCCATGGCTCCACACTGGCCAAACCAGTGAGAGGTCAGAGGACACGGAGCTGGGAGGGGAAGACCAGGGTGACCAGAAAGAACACCCCATTATATATCAACCCACCAGGTGCGGTGGCGCATGTCTGTCATCCCTGTGGTTTGGGAGGCTGAGGCAGGAGGATCACAAGTTCAAAGCCAGCCTCAGCAATTTAGGGAGGCCCTAAGCAACTCAAGGAGACCCTGTCTCTAAATAAAAAACGGGCTGGGGGTGTGCTCAGTGGTTAAGTGCTCCTGGGTTCAATCCACAGTACAAAAAAAATCAATCAAGAACCCAGACTCCTGGAGATGGGATGCTGCACCTAATGCGATTCTTCCCCCTCCCCTGCCTGACTGCCCAGGCACACCGTGTTCCTCTCTGGATTCGTCCACCCTCTTCACGCCACCATCCACCCTCCTCACGCCACCATCATCTTGTGTGCGTTTCTCTGGCAGCTGCCTGACTGGCCTTCCTGCCTGTTCCTTCCTCCAGCCTCTGTCAGCCAGGCAACCAATCTTCCCAATAAGATCCCAATAGGACAATTCCTCTGTAAATTGAGCTTCCTTTCACCTCCAACATGAAGTCCCAATATTTTTAAAAATATATATTTTTTAGTTGTAGATGGACACGACACCTCTATTTTATGTATCAGTTTTTATGTGTTGTTGAGGGTTGAACCCAGGGCCTCACATGTGCTAGGCAAGTGCTCCACCACTGAGCCATCACCTTGGCCCCACGTCCCAATATCTTCTCACGCCTTATGAGGCCTTTCCAGCCTCTCTCTCTCTCTCTTTTTTTTTTTTTTTTTTTTTTTTGCTAATTCTATTTCAATTCATCATCTCTTCCATTCTCAATCTCCCTTCAACAAACCCTTCTCCCTAAATCTGGCCCACTGTGGTCCAAACACATGGAACTACTCTCTGCTCTTTCTCTCTGACCCCAGGGGCTTTGCACATGTTGTTTCTCTTCCTAAAAATCAGGAGGTCATCTCTAACCTGACCCTTCCTCATTCTTCACTCCTTTGTTGCTACTTGCCCAAGGGTTTGGTGCGGCTCCTATATGCTTCCATAGCACCTTGAGCCTGCCCAACTTAAAAAATTCATTTATAGGTATTTACTGGGCGACTGGTTTGTACCAAGCCCTTCCTAACTGAGCTTGGAGCTTGCCATGTTCTTCCTTTCATTCTTCATCTAACCAACCCTTACTCATTCTTCGGGTCTCAGCCAGACTCTTATTTCCCACAGGCGGGTCCCCCTACTTATTCCCAGTTTCCTAATGGTTTGGTTGATGGACGTCTTCCCCGCCCATGGGCGGGGCCAGGTCTGTTTCAGCCTCCACGTTCCCATCCTAGTTCAATGGGCGGCCTGTGCTGGGCGCCGGCCACCTAGTGGTGAGGGGAGGGATAGACAGCTGCTGCCCTCAGACCGCGCTAAGAAATTATGTTCCTGGGGTGGACTCAGGTCTTGTGGGGCCTGCAGCTTAGACGACTTGGGGGATTTTTTCTAAGAACACAAAGTTACAGACACAAAATCGGGTACGAAAGCGAACCTTCGTTTAGTGTGTGAAAATACAACGGATGTCATAAAATATAAAACAATCATGTAATTTTTGTTAATTAACTGCCCTGCACAAACTATCAGACTCCCCCTCTACACTTGTTGGCTCAATTTTCTTTTTTCATCTCCTCATATGCAGCAATTTGTTATGTTTCCTGTGTAGACAAAGAAAAGAAAATGATTTTTTTTTTCTCTAGCAAAATAAAAATTATATTTAGAAGTCAGGCTCATGGTGCATACCTGTGATCCTACCACTCTGGAGGCTGAGGCAGGAGGATCACAAATTTGAGGCCAGCCTCAGCAACTTAGGGAAAACTTTTCTCAAAAACAAAAAACCCAAATAATTCTGTTTATTGTTGATGGATGGGATGCATAAAACGTGTGACTTCACAGCCAGACATGCTTGTTGTTTGTAGGAATGCTACGGTTTCTACCCTGCAAGCACAAGAATTCGGATAAATCCTATTTGGCATAATTCCTCTTAAAGAGAAAAAAAAACAAAACATACAATTGTCTTCACTGCATTATTCAATACATGCCTCATATATATGACGAGATGTTGTGAGGACTGAATCCTGCCCTTGTTATAATCTTTCACATCTGGTGACTGGAAGAATTTCCCACAGACAGCTTTTGGCTTAACACTATTCGAATCCTGTTTCTACTCCGTTGACCAAATGCCTCCAGGCAGGTTCCATAGGACACTGTCACACCTGGCTTGATCCTGGGCCCCACACCTCAGTTTCGCAGTTCCGGGTAGGCCAGCACCATGGCAGTCATCTTCCTGGAAGCCATGTCTGCACAGAGGTGGCCAGAGAACACTGGACACAAAAATAACTGCAAACTGTCGGGTGCAGTGGTGCATCCCTGTAATCCCAGTGGCTTGGAGGCTGAGGAGGGAGGATTGCAGATTAGAAGCCAGCCTCAGCAATTTAGTAAGGCCGTAAGCAACCTAGCCAGGCCCCACCACAAAATAAAACAAATAAAATAAAAGGGCTAGGGATGGGGCTGAGTGGTTGAGCACCCTGGGGTTCAACCCCTGGTATCCCTCCAAATGAACTCAGAACCCCAAAGCTGTTAAACTAAATTTCCCTTTAACCAGATCCTCAAAATGCCCATGACCACTTCAGTGCCAGCCAGCATGAGGGGACATGTGACAAGAGGGGAAGCCTGAAGGGAAAGAGACAGGATTCTTGATTGGGATCCGGTGTGGTCAAAAATAGCTGACCTTTGCAAATTTTACAAAAATACATGACCCAGGAGCACGTTGTTAGGGCCCCTTTCAGAACGTCTCAGGGGTGGGCCCTGAAGCTTATAAACTTCATTCACTTCGTGGTAAACTTGCCTCTGCCTGTATTTTATTCATTGTAATTCTGTGCCCAAGCACGACGCCTGGCACATAGTAGTTGCTTAATAAACATCTGCTGAGCAAGGGTAAGTGCTGTTTGGCCTAGGACCCTCTCTCTCCAGGGAATCTCATTGCCTCCTTTCAGAGCTGGCGCTCACGGAGTAGTCAAGTGGATACTGGAGGTAATGGAGGGGGCGGGGGAGGCTGTCCCAGCTCCTGGCAGCTGGGCCAATAAGCCACCGCAAACACTCCGCTTAGCAGCGAGGTGCCCTGGCTGCCCTCTGAGGTGGTTCTAATTGGCTCTGATCAGGGAGAGCCAGGTCAGGGCTTCACTAACAGTGACAGCAGCTCGGTCATTAGAAGAGCCGGTGGAAGGGAGGCACTGGGAACGCCATTTCTGAGCACAGGGCAATTGCAGACAGAACCCTCTGGTCTCTGCGCTGTGGGGCTGGTTTCTGTGGGTCGTCAGGGAGTGGCCTTAGGATCCCACCCACATTCTTCTTTGAGGCCTTGGGTCCAGCCAGCAGAAGTCCTCTGGATTCCCCAGAGGATGGCTCTAGGGGTCTCCAGCGATGACTGTTTAGAATCTAAACATCTAGAACCTAAAATCCCCCACCACTTGGTACGTGTGACATCTCCAAGGCACGCTCGGGAGCCAGCACCGCAGTGAGTGGGGACCTCCTGGTGCCCGCCAGCTCATGGCCCTGTGACAGGGCTGCGTGCGCTGCCTTTGTTTATTTACTTATCCATCTGTCTTCCAAGAGGGACTGCCAGCTCCTCAAGCACCGACCCAGTCGTGTCTTTATATTCCTGCTTATTTCCCAGCACGGAGCCTGGCCCTTGGCCAAAGGAAGGGAGAGGAAGACTTGG